CTTAAGCCAGGTCTGGTGCAGAGATGTCGTGGAGGCTGCCAGGGAGGTGGATGATGGCAAAGGAGGAACCCCGGAGAGAAAGGGAGTAACACGTCAGGGGGGACGAGGGAACCCCCGTGTGGGGACTTTGCAGGGTCCCCCAGCCCCCGAGACGGACAGCCCCATTTAAAGGGAACTTCGTGGTTGCTGGGGGCTGAAAAGGCAAGAGGTGGGGAAAGCCGGGTTGGGGGCGGGTGGGCTCGGGAGGAGGGAGCGCCTGCCTGCCTTCTGGCAAGTCCCCTTCCTGGAATGTGAGCCCATCTAAGACCGGTAATTTAAACCGGGGGGAGGGGGAGCGGGGGCGGACAGCACGGAGACGAGCGACCGGTTGGCACCAGTTCAGGTGTCCAGGTAGGGAGCCCAAGCTGCCAGGACTTTGGAGTGCTGCTTATGAAATCAGGGTGATGAGCCGGCGGGTGACCCTGCAGGGAGCTTCACTTTGCGAAAGAGCCAGCCATCCGGATGAGCCTCCCTGGCTTCCGGCAGCTGCAGTTGGTGGCTGGATTCTGGCGTGGTTGCAGGTTGGGAGACTTGGCGGCCCCATGTGTGCAGCCTCGTGCTGCCCCATAGGGTTTTCGAGACTTGACCTTCTGGAAGGCGACCTGCAGGCCTGGCTTACAGGACACATTGCCTCCAGCAAACTCTTGCTAGTTTGAGCGTGGTGGGGGTGAGCATGCTAGGTTATCTGCAGCGCTGCACTTGACCATACCTGAGCTGAATTGCAGCCAGCTGTCTGGTTCTGTAGAAGGGTTTTTCTTATGACCCTCCTCAGAGAACTGTTTGCTTAGATGCATGTAACGTTTACTATCGGGCCTGGATCTCTGCCTTCTGGTTTTGCAAAGAGATGTGTGTTACATCTATCAAATGTACATGTATATAATATAGAGTCTACAACAAATAGATACATTTATTTCAAATATTGTTTCAGTGCATTGGTGGTGGTTTTTATAATCGGGTGAAACTTTTCTACACCTCTGAAAGATAGGGAGGTAGCAGCATTGTTCTTTGGGTTTGTTTTTGTTTGGTTTTTTTGCATGCAGGATGGGAGAACTGAAGCAAAGAATGATCTAGTGGTTGAATCCAACACCATATGGGACGTTGTTGTTTTCAACACGTGTTGTTTGATATTACTTATCATGGCAGACCAGGAATGAGGAGTGAGGTCTCATAAGATTCCGTTGAGGATGCTCTCTCTTTCAAGTTCAGATCCGCCTCAGTTTGGGAGTTGTGAAGATGGACGTAACTTCATTGGAATAGCCACTGCGAATCTTGGGACCGTGACTGCGAACCCAAGCAGGAAATGGGTTACATCGAGCTAGAGGTTCAGGTGAAGCCAGAGGGCCGAGATTTGAGCCAGGCACCAGTACTCTGGGGAGAGAAAGAACAAGGTTAGGAGTATTTATAGCATTAAGTAGAAAGGACAGCACGGGTTCCTGATGATCCAGTTATGAAGAGGAAACTCTGCTTATTAGTGTCTGGAGAAACTTAGTCAAGGGAAGCAGGGAGCTAAAGGTGATGGTCTAGCTGAATCTAGGTCCTAGGGGGAAACAGAATATTGATGCATTCCCACAGAAGCACTGGTAACATTTTTAATAGTTTATAGCTTCTGGTCTAAGGTGTCCGATAGAGAACATTTCCTTTCCATAATGACTATCACTCAGTCAGGGCAGAAGGGAGCTGGGAAATAATGAAAAACCTGTCTTCTTTCACCAAAAAAGTTAACTCTTTAACTATCACTGCACAGTTTACAGGGTCTCCCTTCCTTTCCTTGTGGTCACTATTGTTGATATCAGGAATGAAAAGCCCAACAGCTATAGGGGAGGTAGATACAACCTAAGGACTGGGTGGCTAGTGAGGCCTGATGCCGTCCAGCATGTCTGTTCACAAAACTGGGTACCTAGCTTCTTAGGAGCATCAGTTTCCATGAGCCCAAGCATGAGAGCTATGCCACGACACAGAATATTTCTAGTATCAAAACATTTCTAAGAAGGACGTTTTTGTGTATTATTGAGTATTATGGGAATGATTCTTGAGGTGGTAGACTTTGGCTCATATGTGGGGGCTTCCAAAAGTTCAGGATGAATTCTTTCCATTAAAAGGCAATCGCGATTTCCCATGGAATTCTTGAAGCCCCTTCCCATTTGGGTAGTTGAGAAAGAAGCTAGGCCACCGCTTGGTTAGCAGGATGGATGCAGAACCCAGAGGTTGGGCCAATAAGTGAAGCTGGACTGAAGGCATGCTGACATCCTAAGGAGAGAACTATCAGGAGAAATTGTAAGAAAGCTCTGCTTTCTCTGCTGTGACTAGCTGCCTGGGTTCTGGTGGCAGCTCTCATTTGCTAATTAGAGTTCTAATTAGCAGTGACTAGGGCAAGGCAGATAAGCCATTTAAAGGGTTCTAGTTACTTGTGCCCTTTTGGTGTGCTGTGGGAAGGGCTGAGGAGCCCTTATGGTGTAGTGGGTTACCCATTGGTCTTCTAACTGCAAGGTCAGGAGTTCTAAACTACCAGCCTCTCCCTAGGAGAAAGATGAGGCTTTCTGCTTCTGTAAAGATTGACAGTCTTGGAAGTCCACAGGGGAAGTTCTATTCTGTTTCATAGGCTCGCTATGAGTCAGAATTGACTCAATGGCAGTGAATTTGGTGGGAATGCTGGTAGCTGGCAAGAGAGCTGTCAGCAGAATGCGAGACAGAAAGCGCAGATGGAGGACACGGAGGACACAGTCCAGCAGGAGGTGGGGCAGTGTGGCTCCAGGGTGACACATCTTAAACCTGCAGATTGGTGGGAAGTCAAAACTGATCGTCAATTAGTTCATCGACAAATATTGATGGAGCACCTATCAAGCCTCGGGCACTCTAAGCACTGGCGGTAAAGGAGGATTAAGTGCGCTGACCTTAGTTAGCCCTGGTATTTCAGTCGCCTCATGCATGTGAATGTTAGATACTGAACCGAGGAAGACTGGAGAGGAATAGAAACATTTGCGTGATGGTGCTGGTGAAGAATGTTGAGAGGGCCATGCTTTGTCAAAAGAACCAGCACATCTCTTCGTGGAAGAGCAGCCAGATGCTCCTTCAGAGGCTGGGTGGGCAAGACTTTGTCTCACGTAGTTCGGACACTTTACCCGGAGAGACCAGTCCCAGGAGAAGGACACCAGGCTTGGTAAAGTAGCAGGGCAGCACAAAAGAGGAAGACCTACGACAAGACGGATGGA